CAAAAGATAAGTACCATAATATAAATAAACAACACTATGTAACAGGGTCATAAATCACATTGTTATAATTACACAAAATGTATCCTAAACCCCCAAACCGTTCCTTTTATACCTGACTTTTAGGACCTCCAAGCCTGTAGTTATGTTCATTATCAGTTAGAGCCCCTCCTCATTCTCTTCTTCTTCTTTGGTGCAACCCTATAAATACAGTGTACCCCTTTTGCCTCTCCCCTTTTCTACAATTCCCCTGTGGGAGAGGTGGGTGTCATTTCTTTCCCAACACTGTAAAACGCTCATTAATGCATATTTAGCCACCTGGATGTTCCTGATTGTGATTTTAGTTCAATTATTGTCATTATTAAGCCTGTTTATTGTTAGATGTTATAAGTGTGTAGTATGTATGTATCATGAATGTGTTTTAGGCACCTTAAATGCTAGCATGGATATATACTTCTTGCTAGCTTGGAAGTTGTGGTGGGTTGAGCTAACCCTCTTCCCCACTGTTTGTATTTGGTCGTAGGAGCTGGAGTGGGCAAATTATTTACTTGAAGGTCTTTCTTTCTTTCTTTTACCTTTTTTGATCAGGTATGTCGGATTTCATGTTGTTGTTTTTGTTTTATCTTATGTCAAATATGTTACGTGTAAATCCATACTTTATGTTTAATGTAAAAATAAAGGGCGCCCCTTTTCTACAATTCCCCCGTGGGAGAGGAGGTGGAGTGGGCAAATTATTTACTTGGAGGCCTTTCTTTCTTTTACCTTTGTTATCAGACACAACGCAGAATCACACCGGTTACAACTACATATCCTATAATCTGATTTCTGTCTTTTAGTTTATTAAAAAGTGAAGCGCCACACAGTTTGTGTGATTATCCAGATGTACATAAGCATGATTACACAGTTACACAATCATACCAAAACTCTGTCCTGATAGTTTCCACTTTCTCTTTTGTATCAGACATACTGAGACAATATTCGGGATAAATAACCATAAAAACAATTTTATGGTTAGTTAGAGGCTCCAACTGGTGGCCTGTAATGTCCTTCAGATGGGCTAACACCAGTCGTTCGAAGGGTTTCATGACCACAGACGTCAAGGTTTACACATCCCACCAAAGAGCCTGTTTCATTTGAATCGTCCACTTGATGGCGCAGTAGAGCAAATGAATCATCACAATGCTTTGACCACGAGTCGACCAGTGTGATGGAAAGCTTCAGTTCATCACGAGGCTTCATCTTATGGAACGCCAGGACTGCCTTAATGAATTAATTAAATACACGATTAAATAACTGAGTATCATCCTTAAATAAATGTTTTAGTGTGTTTGTACAGGTGGCTACAGAATGGATCAACGTCCTCCACAAGCACAGCGGCCGGAGCAAAATGATAGATTAACATAATTGGAACCACACCTGAATATTTGGCTGAATATTACACAGCTTCACTCCATGTACACCTTACACTGAAGAACAAGCTTCGAGGGCAACCGATCTCTCCCTGAAGAGAAAATGCAGTTCGAGAGCAACAGCGTCAACTTCAAGACTCAACAATGTGAACACACAGCAACACTGCCCTAAACCCTAAAGGGTTCAGCAGCATGTACAAATACCATGGATGGATGGAAGTATGCGCTCCCAATCACAAGCTGGGAGGTTCGCCAGCGACATCACTGTGTGTGAATGGACTTGAGAAGACTGTCTGAGTTTCACATTTGCCATACTGGGAGCTGAAAAGGCAAAGGAAGAGACTGAAAAGAGTGAAAGACAAAAGGCAAAGCTGAAGAAGAACGGCCCACTGGGTCCCTGACACGCCACAAGTGTGAGCTGCTGCAGATGCAGGAGAGAGACAGAAGCTGTGAGAAGTGGGGAGAAGAGAGCACGGAGGAAAAATGAAGTCTGTTGTTGTTAATGTGAGAGCACGTGAAAATTGGGTTGGAAAACTGTGGCCGGCTGTCTTGTGGAGGTTGATAAAGAGTCCGTAGGATCGCAACAAAGGTAAAAATAAAACGCACACAAACACACATAAACAGAGAAATGTGAAGGAAAGGCAGCTTTAAGGACATGCCCTGCTGAATCTGCAGCTCCACTGCACACACAGCCATTAAACCTGCCTACTAGCACACACACATGCAATGAAGATCAGTTGTGCAAATTTCACAGACACTTGTTATCAAACGCTGAGTGTATCCACTGCTGACAATTAACTCTCTAGGTTGCAGGACAAGAGTTTAACTTTTGTGAAGGGGAAAAAAAGAGATTCTGGTTTGACCAACCAGTGATCAGACAATAAATTTAGTTGTTAATATAGTAAATTGGGAGATGCTTTCTGCATTATTGGTGCAGCACAAGTAATTTACTGTATGAAGGAAATTCTCTTTTGTGATAATATTTTGAACATGCATTTCTGTTGTCCTGTCAGCTTAGTGGGTTTTTAGCTGATATGCAAATTAGTTTATTGTTACTAGATCAGGGAAGGATGACTGGATTATAAAACAAGTGAATAAGTTGTAGCAGAGGGTTGAGTTTCCTGTTTCTGATGTATGGGTGAAGCTTGCACCCAGATATACACTCTGAATATATGAGAACAAACTTGTTTTGTGAAATACATGATGACATGTTACACGTTTTATGTTTGGGGAAGAAAAAAAAAGGAAAGCAAAGTTAAATGAAATGATTGGGTCTGTGAAACTGAAAAATACGTTTAAAAAAAAAAAGCACAGACCTGGGGAAGAAATCCACATTCCTGTGCTAAAACATTGATATGAAGTGTTTAGGAAGCTTTTAATGGTGAACATTTTGTGTTGTGTGAACTCTGCAGCTGCTAAAGAAAAACATTTTCTCTGTGTGTTTAGCAGGTGAAACTAGATCAGTTGGCCCCAGACTTTCCAGAATGGGAAATATTCGGGAGCACTTGTGGGCAACCAGTAAATATAAGCCTGATTTCAGACCATGTAAGCATCAGTTGTTAATTAAAGCCAGAAGCAGTGACTGCAGCACTGCATGGCAGGTTCTAACCCCTACAGCCTGTTATTTCACCTGAAGGCAAAACTTTTCCTGTTATTTTTCCAGTAGATTTTGGGGGTTTTGTTTTAGTACCAGGCTGATTCTGCCAGTTAGGTTTGGGTTGTTTTCTTTTCTTCCCCATGTTTTTATGTGATTATTAATTGTGGTATCACAAAGGGTGGGAATGTGGTGGCAGATTTCTTTTCTCATGTATTAATCACATATTTAATCATATCACATTAGTTATAGTAATATCACTTTCTCACTTTACTATAGTAAGAGCACTCCTGTCACTAGTTTACATGCATGTGGAAAGTTAACACAGTGAGGCCATTGTAATGGGAGACGTTAAACAGATAGCGAGACTCCTTCTGCTTATCAGGGATGTAAATCCTTAGGTGATGGCTAAGCAGAAAACAAGGTCATAATTCTCTCGGTGAGGGAGGAGGTATAGCTACAGTTTTAAGCATGTTCAGCTCTAGATTGTGCTGACTGCACCAGAGTACCAGCCGCTCAACTTCCTG